TTTGTACACAAAATGGTGTAATTTGTTTGGTGGAATTGACATCACACCATTTACAACAAATTTTAAAATGTATACTTAATTTTTTAAAACTCAGCATATCCATCTCACATGCTTATTTCCCGTTTTTTTTTTCTTTTTCTTTTCCGATAACACATGTTTGCATGTTTTATTGTTGATGTGGACGTCTAATCATTAAATGAGCTAATAAGATGAATATTAGGTTTTACCGTTTTACGATAAACATATCATTACATAACCCACCATATCCATCAAATCAACTCATTTAATGACTAGACGTCAATGTCGGTAATGAAGCCAATAAAATTTGTGTTATAAGGAGAAAATGATCAAATCATCACTTTTACCGATAATTAATGTTTTTCATAAAAAAATTAGTTTAAGACTTATTCGTAAATTATGGTAAAATAATGAGATTTTAATGAAGATTTCCCCAGGTCATTCAATGACTTGGCGTCCATGTCATCAGTGCAACCGGTAAATCGGAAAAAAGTGGCAATCATCATTTTTATCTGTGATTCATGGTTTTTCATAAATAAATTTTAGTATAAGACTTATTTGTCATTTATGGTAAAATAATTAGATTTTAATTAAGATTTCCCCTTTTAAATATGTAGAATTAATAAAAAAAAACAAAAACTAAAAGCTTTAGTTTTTAAATTATAAGTTTTTTGTTTCAAATAAAAGCTGAAAGTTCTACTAATGAACATTTTTTTGTAGTTTTTTCTTAAAAGTTTCCAAAAACTGTCAAAAGCTTTGTGTTAAACATGCTCATAGAAGACTTTGTAATTTAAATGTATATTTTTGTAAGTTGTTTTCTTTACTTTATCTATGATTATTTTGTTACACCCTTAAATATCTTAATTTTTTTTTTAAATGTTAAACGACTTGGTCGTTTTAGGCCAAATCCCACAAGATATTTTTTTAGTTATTGTTTTTTTCAAATTACTTTAAATTGTTATTTTGAAGCTCATTAAAAAATGTCATACAATAGGTGTTTTTAACCATAGGAAAGAGGAATATTAATCATACTAGATTGGTTGAGGAGGCCGAGAATGTGACATGTGTTGTTCCATTAGAGCATCGATCACGCTTGTAAGCATGTCGGGAGAAGTGCACAGTGATGGATAACAATGATAATTTTTTCGAAATTCAAGGATAAATCATTCATGAAATAGATGACAAAGGTCATCATGGGCATGAGCATGTAGATTTTGGCTAGGAGACCAGAAAGAAGCTTCATTTGTTTTTGACATAATTGGAAGATTGTACGTTCTCTTAGAACCATGGTGTGAAGCTTGTTGTCCAACTCAATTGCCATACATCTTTGTTGTCATGAAAAAGTTCTTCAGACTTGCCAAAACAGATAATATAATGAAACCGTTTTTGAGGATCAAGGTGAGGAGGGATTGGGTTATAGTATCGTAAATCCACATCTTGACAACAAAGTTGAGTATGTGATATTCAATGTCTTCCAGCTCCACGGGGGAGGATGTATCATCAAGGTGACCGATGACACCAAAACCGATGCCATGGGTCTCAAACAACTCTAGCAAAGCATCGTAGTTCAATTCATTAAAGAGGGCACATAAGCTTTAATACTAGTAATATTATAGTACTGTTTTTGATCGGTGATGAGAGGGGTCGGCCATGACATTTGTGGAGTAGAAGAGAAGAGAGACACTATTTCAATCAAATTTGAGAGAGAATCAAAATTACTCTCAAACGTTATACGATTTGCTATTCACATGCATCAAGTTTCATTCTTTCACCACATTAGGCAAGTACTTATAACTTATAATCAAATCCATCTAAAGAATGTCGATAATGTCAATCATTTATTAATTATTTATGTTGAATAAATATCACTTAACAACAATATTAAGGTCCTGAAAATATGGTCGAGTAATAGGAGTCAAAATGTATAGTCTTGCATTTTTTTGGTCAAATACGGACTTCAGTAAGTATGGTCGAAATTGGCATGAAGTCTATGGTTAAAGTCAGTAATGTCAAGACTGACATAAAGTCAATCGTTTCAGTCAATTACAACGGCAAAAAGTATTTGATGTCTATTGTCTTTCCATTTAAATAATGACTCTTTTTGGTTATCAAAATTGGCTAGTATCACAACAATAATTAATCAATCAATCATTCTTTTGGTTTGTTTTCACATAAGCGCTATAATATATTTTAGACTTATTTATAAATAACATATCTTTATTAAATATTTAACAATTTATTTTTTCCTTCAAAAACAGTTGACGCAAGCACATATAAAATTAATGCATGTTTAATCAAAAAAGAAAAAGATTATAAACATTATTATACGGTGGGTACCGGGGAGTATTAGTTAAATTGCATTTTGAATATCTTTACACAACAATTATTGTTAATTTACATTTGTTTTATAGCTTTCCAGATATAAATTATTTATATACATATATCACTAGTTAAGTTGCTTTTGATACCGTATCTTTTTTGCAATTCTTCGATATGTATGTTAAAACAATAAAAGTAGATTCCGAGCCCTATATATTAAAATAAAAATACTGATAAAACTAGTTATTGGTCCAAAACTTTCATTGGATTTTATTTTTGTTAAAATTAAAGTGACGTAGTTAACTAATAATTACATATTTTTATTTATATTGCTGCAGTTATTTTAATAACAAACAATAAATAATTGAGTGGCCAGTGGCCACGGCTGACCGACCCTGTCCACGCCTTAGATAGCCGGCAATCGTTGTTCACTCTTCAGTGCCTTTGTTTGTTGTTTACATTATAAACATATAAATAATGGTTAACACGATGAAACATATAAACTATTAAAATATTTACTGTGTTTTTTAACAAAAGAACAACTATTTAAAAAGCTATTCGTTTCTGGTTTTAGTTTTTAACTACTTATCTAAAAAAAACTATAAAACCGACATGTACATTTCTATATTGATGCACACATATTTTGCATCACGTTTTCAACGGCAGAATATGTGTAAATAAATAAAAAAAAGGATAATGACTTAAAAAGGTAACGAAGTTTCAAAAGTGTACAAAAAAGATCATTGTTGTTTTTTTTTGTACATAAAATACCATTTTATCGGCTATTGTAGGTTATCCGGTTTCCACATGTTCAAAAAATACCATTGTTGTTTTTTTAGTACAAAAAATACCATTAATGTTACTATTTGTACACAGAATACCAACAAAATACACATGTGTTCAACTAAAACATTGTGGTAATCAGGTACTTCAGGCAAATGGGATGAGATGAGCGTAATCAGCAAGTGCTTGTTTAATTTTTGTTGAAATTATTGGAAAAGATCTTACTTCCACCGTATGATCAGCCGAACAAGATTATAGGTGATGCTTCGGCTGATAACTTTTTCTTCAAATCGGTGATGAGAAGAGCGTAATCAGTAAGTGCTTGTTCGGCTGTTAAATATGCTAAAGTAGAAGCATTCTTGTATGCCTCTTTCTGGCTTCCATATGGCATCGATTCACCATAATATAGATGCTAGATCAAATCACGCAGCTTTTGATAAAATTGTATTATTAAAGGTCTGCAAGTGAACAAATTAATGTAGAGTAGAGTGATTAGGGCTTTTACTTCGGGGAAGATGACCATGGCACCAAAACGAGGGGCGAGTTCCCAAACGAAGTCGGTGTTGGCAGCGAACCATTCGATGTCGCCTTCGTTGCCGCAATAAAGGAAGATTGGGCCCAAACGACTAGGACCTGGGCCCACCCAGTGATCGGAGTTGATGAGATAATGTTGTTGGAACTTGGGAAGATCATTGAAACTGAAATGATCAAGAGTCTGATCAAAGTATCGTGTCTCGTAAGTTTCAGCTGAACAAGAATTTTTGGGTTTTGAGAAGCCGTGGGGATTTGCCGAGAAACGGAGGTGGCCGGTGAGATTCCGACGTTGATGAAAGTAGGCAGATGATTAGGATGAAGAATAAGAAAAAATGTTTTGCCATGGTGGTGGAGGGTGGCGATGAACCACAGTAGTGGCCGAAGTGAAGTGGAGGGTTCTTTATAAAAAGTAGCTAAATTTCCATTACATTCAAAGAAGGAAAAATGACTTAAAAAGGTAACGAAGTTTCAAAAATGTACAAAAAAGACCATTGTTTTTTTTTGTACACAAAATACCATTTTACCGGCTATTGTAGGTTACCACAAGGTATTATTTGAACACATGTGTACTTCATTGGTATTCTATGTATAAAAAATATACTTTAATGATATTTTAAGTACTAAAAATAAAATAATGGTATTTTGAGTACATTTTTGAAACTTCATTACCTTTTTAAGTCATTACCCCTAAAAAAAACGCAAACAAATAACTAGCGAAAAAGAGTAGTTGCATCAAAATGTATAAGAGTAATTACTAATATTACTAACGGCAAGAAGTGGATAACCGTCTCCCAACATCAGTCGTCCTATTTTCCTCGGATGCAATCCTGGTCACCTTAACTCTATATTTACCATTTTTATGCCGGTTGTTCGTCTCTCCCTCTGATGTTCCCAACAACGCCGGTTATCTCCCCAACCAGCGATTCAACGTATGCCTTCAACCTCCTCCTAGAAGTATTAACCGTTATGCCTATATAAGGAGTCGATTTAAATGTAATATTTGTTCCATAAATTTCCTAAAATCTCTGAATTTGCTAATCAGTCATGGAGAAGAAATTTGCTCACAACGATTTTCCGGTTGAAAATATGGCACCGAAGGTAAAAAATTCTTTAATGTGTCAATGAATTTCTTCAATTGATTATTTGTGTTCCATCCTCTAAAAAATTATCGATACAATTCCATATGATAAGTCTTCAAGTTAGGTAAAATCTTTAGTAATTACTTTAATTTAAGTTTTACATTCATACGTTTTTACCATGTGACTTTCATTTGTACTTTATTGAATTGTCAATTTAATTGTATTATCGAGTTTAATGTTCATTTATGTTTGTATAATCGATTTCATATGTACTTATTGATGTACTCTATAATTTTCGACAAGAAATTTGAAGATGTTCAAGTCAAAGTCAATGTATACTCAGATGTAACCAAACTGTCATGTGATTCTGATTCTGACAGTCTTGAAACAATAGACTTTCGTGCTAACTTCAGTTCCTGCAAATCCCAAATGGAGAGGGTGTATTGTGAAGAGGTAAATAATTTATGTATCCGCTTTTCAGATAAATAAGCATTTAAGGTTTGTTTCTTCTTTTAGGATTGTTTAATTGCTAGAGAAGATGAGAAGCTGACAAGAAAAGATAAGAGGAAGTTAGCTTTATCATGTTGGAAGTGGGAGGAAGTTGTGGATCTATGTAAAGATGAAGACTCATATGTGGTCCTATCATTCATACCACTGAAAAAGAAAGTGAAAGTTTCCATTCAATCTCGAAATCGAGTCCTGAAACTTTTTGATGAATTAGATGATGATGAGTAATTTAGGTTTAAGTTTTTTGTTATTAGTTTAGTAATTTGTGTTTTGTTTTGCATTTACTTTAGTTAGATGTTTTCTTTTGCATTTGCTTCAGTTAGATGTTGTGTGTTTTGAGAACCAATGTTTCAAAATTTTTGACTTTTAGTGTAATGTTGTTAATGTTTTTATGATGTCAATTATACTATTTTTGTGGAAGGCATATGTTTTCTATCAAAGTATGTTTCCAAAATCCTATTTTAGTGCATTCAAAATATCAATATTCACTTTCCTTCTTAAATCTAAATACATTGGTTCTCAATTTCTAATAATCGATGCACTTAAATTTCTAACAAATTGATATCTAAAATTCTATCATTAACACATTAAAGGCCGGTGAACTGAAGCAAAAATAGTAAAAAAATTGATGATTGCTAAAGGCAAAAAAAAAACTTAAAACAACTAGGTACCCAGTACCGGAACCGGTTCCGGTTCCGGTTCCGGTTCTTACTTTCTAAGAACTGGCGGTTCCGGTTCCGGTTCCAAACAATTAGGGCGGGTACCCGTCTATGCTCACCCCTAACTAAAAGTGCATGTGGTTTTCTTCACATTTGGACATCTGATGGAATCATCTAGAAAAAAAGGCATGAGAGATGAATAAGATGTCAAGCAAGGAGGATAGAATCATTGGCCCTAGAGGAGGTAAGTTTGTTTGATCTCTGTGCTCATGTTATAAATGTATAACTTTTCTTATGTAATCCGATCCTCCACTTTCTTATGAATGATTGAAAGGTGTCGTATTCATATGGCAGTAAATGGGATCCCTAAGACAATTGATATTGAAATTATAGTAAGTTCTTTCAACAATTATTTTTCATTATTTTTTAAAGTGGTGGTTAATATTTGCATAACGTCAAGCTGTAGCTACTCTTATTCTTCTTAGGTCATTTATTCTTCTTAGGTCATTTGTCACTACTGGTTATGCTATAATGTAAGGATTCACTGAGTGGAATCATAATTTTGATGCAAATAGTGAGTAGGGTGACACCTAGATACAAACAATAACATAAATTGGAATTTATCATGCCTAAGTTGGGTGTTTTAACATAATTTCTTTTATAAACAAATATTTCTTTCCCAATTTGACCTTAACGTTTGTCCTCACAGTAACTATCTATTGCAATGGATGAGGTTAATAACAAGCTTCTTGACCTGTATGCATATGAATATTTTATTAGTAGGATAAGGTAAAACATATTGCACATTGGTAGAAAGCTTTTACCTTAGGGTTAATGTCATAAAAACCCTCAAGTTTTCAGGGTTTTGTCGGTTTTGCCCAAAGTTGCATTTTATGTTCGTTTTTACCCTAACATTTTCGAAAAAATGTTTGGTTTTACCCTTTTACCGGTGATAACAGGTTTCCAGGTTCCATTATATTTAATTGGCAAAAAAAACCCTTAAGTTTACCCTTTTTTGCGTTTTTACCCTTAAGTTTATAATTTTTTTACACTTTTACCCTAAGTATTCTTTTCATAATATACGTATTCATGTAAAAAAAATTGTATTTATATACGAAAAAATGTTTAATTAAATATTGTATTTAAATTTTTTTTAATGTTATATATATATATATATATATATATATATATATATATATATATATATATATATATATATATATATATATATATATATATGTTTGTGTGTGTTTGCAAGGTTATATCATTTAAAAAGATAAATAATATTTTTAGAATTATGAATAGGTGTTTTATAGATATAGTTTTTAGAAGTATAAATGCATCTTTTTACATTATTATATATAAATATGTATCTATACTTCTAAAAATATATTTATACTTTAAAAAAACATATATCAAATACATATTTACACTTCTAAGAATATATGTATATACTTATATAAACATGTTTATGATTCAACATGTTTTTTTATTGATATATATATTTTTAAATGCATAAAAATATGTACTTGTAGTTTTAAAAACATATTAATTTGCGTTTTTTTTACATCTTAAATGGTTTATCTAAGAAAAAACCCATACACACACACACACACACACATATATATATATATATATATATATATATATATATATGTGTGTGTGTGTGTGTGTGTGTGTGTGTGTGTGAAGAAATAACATTAAAAAAATGTGAATACAATACTTAATTAAAATTTTTTCGTATATAAATATAATTTTTCTGCATGAATACATATAATATGAAAAAAAAATACAAAAGGTAAAAGTGTAAAAAAATATAAACTTAAGGGTAAAAACGTAAAAACCTATAAACTTAAGGGTTTTTTTTTTTGCGAAGCTAATATAATGGTAACCTGTTATCACCGGTAAAAGGGTAAAACCGAACATTTTTTGGAAAATGTTAGGGTAAAAATGGACATAAAATACAACTTTGGGCAAAACCGACAAAACCCTGAAAACTTGAGGGTTTTTATGACATTAACCCTTTACCTTATTACCCTTTTGTGGTTTGATATATAGAAATGTATATTATTTCTAATGAAATAACATCTAGTTTTTTATTTAATTTTGTTAATTATGTAGGAACAAATACATGAACAAATTTTCCCTTTTTGTTAACAAGGTATTGATTTTGCAATAATAAGTTAATATATAGATATTTTTCTTTTATCAAAATATGCTTCTTTATCTTATAGTAGGGTGCTAATGTTGGTGGAATATTAGACTTCCTTTGTATTTCGTTGACTAATATTGTATATGGTTTTCTTCACATTTGGACATCTGATGGAATCCTCTAGAAAAAAAAGGCACCTGAGATGAAATAAGATGTCGAGCAAGGATGATAGACTCATTGAGCCTAGAGGAGGTAAGGTTGTTTGATATTTGTGCTCTATGTTATCAATGTATACCTTTTCTTATGTAATATGATCCTCCACTTTCTTATGAATGGTTGAAAGGTGTCGTATTCATATGGCAGTAGATGGGATCCCGAAGACAATAAATATTGATATTACAGTAAGTTCTTTCAACTATTCTTTTTCATTATTTTTTAAAGCGAAGGTTAATATTTGCATAATGTCAAGCTGTAGCTACTTTTGTTCTTCCTAGGTTATTTGTCTCTATAGGCAATGATGTAATGCAAGGATTCACTTAGTAGAATCTTGATTTTGATGCAAATGGTAAGCGGGTGACACCTAGATACAAGCAATAACATAAATTGGAATTTGTGGTGCCTAAGGTGGGTGTTTTTACACAATTTATTTTATAAACAATATTTCTTTCCCAATTTGACCTTGACATTTGTCCTCATTGTAACTAGCTATTGCAATGGATGAGGTTAATAACAAGCTTCTTGACCTGTTTGCATATGGAAATTTTATTAGTAGTTTAAGGTAAAAAATATTGCACAATGGTAGAAAGAGTTTACCTTATTACCCTTTTGTGGTTTGATATATAGAAATGTTTAATGGTGAAGAGATGGATACAAAGTAGATTAGATTGTATAATGTTGTGGCATTTAAATATTGATGCAATCAGTAGAAAGAGTTTACCTTATTACCCATTTTACTATGTGTTCTTTTTTAGCCTTTATTATGTTTTATTTATCATTTTTCTAAAATGGGTTTATAGTTCACTTGAATCATAGAGGTTTCTTAGGAGGGATTTCATGGGAACAATTGTATAAGATCTTAAAATGGTAAAGGAAAGTGTACCTAAATTGTTTCTAGAAATACCCAAGAGAAGGTAATATTTTGAATTTAGTTATCAAAGAATTGTGCACATGATCCACTGATCTTTGTTTTTTGCCATACACCAAAGGTGCATGGATATTTGTGTTTTTTTCTCATATGTTTGCTTGGATAAAGAATAATTGTGTAGTAAGATGTTTGGATATGGAGTCCGATGTTTTTCTGAATTAGATATGGAGCCTGATGTTATTGTAGGGGTATTAAACTATACTACTAATCGGTATGTACTAAAGTTCCATCCTTCAACATTATTCATTTATATTTACATTTATAGTTTTAACTCTTTCTATGTTAAATTCTAGTTTCTATTATGTATAGATATGGTTAGGTATTATGGAACCATTCCATTGGGAAGCTAGCATAGTGTTAGGTGGCAATAAAGCAAGTTATTTTGAAATTGAGTTGATTAAATTTTACCTAAATATGGGTAATCTTAGATTTACATTTGACTCTTTTACATTTGTACATAGAAACCAACTATCCTAGATCCAAACACATTCCAATGGCTTTTCATTGTATTTTGATAAGATGGTGTATGAGGAAATAGTAACATGTCATGTTTCTTTTGATTATCAAACTTACGTATGTAGTACCATAACTAAACATCGTTTAGGTGAACCTCAACTAGGGTTAAAGTTATATTTGATTGTGTGGTGCATGTTTTATGTTCAGGTTGGGGAAGAAATGTATTCATGGCTTCAAGTGGGACAACGAGTACATCCTGATGCAACATTGTACAATTTATCTACGAGTTGTAGTTCATAAAAATAATGTAATCATGTAATGAAATTGTATCATATTGATTATTATTCTCTGTTGCCCAAAAATTTCAAGCATTAAGGACTCGAATATCCAAATCCCTCAAGTTCCAAAAATTACATATGTTATCAAGAATGCAGAGTTTTGTTGGTAGTCACTTCCAAAGTGACTTAATGTCTTAATCATGGTCAAAATTCAAGTCATGTGGAAACTTAGATCCTCAATGTGGTGCATGTTGCGGTATTGATACTTTGTTATGGTTTCTGATGTCTACTCTATTTTGGAAATTGCATGTCCCCTCAATCGCTTGGCAGGATGTTGGAGCTATATTTTGATGTTTGACTATCTCTTCCTAAGTGATAACAGATAAATATGTGGTATTTTCTTTTCGTGTTATTGGTTTAGGTCTATGATAATCTTTTAATATTATTTTGTTTTGATCTTCTCTATTATATTCAACTTATAAGTTTCCCAGATACTTGTTGGATTTTGTTTTATTTTTTATTTGCTAAAATTCTGCTTT